AACTTGTCCCTGGTCACTATTCTTTTACTCTGGAGCCCATAATCATTGTCCTCGCAGTGATTTCTCTCCTTCTCTTTCATGCACTCAGCCAGTACTTATGGAGGATCCACTGTGTGCTGGGCATGCTCTGAGCATCAGGGATTTGGTGGTGGACAAGATAGATTTCATGTCTGCTGTGTTATTACCCACATTGTATTAGTCTGTTCTCACGCTGCTAATAAAGACATATGTGAGGCTGGGTAATTTATAAAGGCAAGAGGTTTAATAAAATTGCAGTTCCATATGGCTAGGGAGGTCTCACAAACACGGTGGAAGGCAAATGAGGAGCAAAGTCGTGTCTTACATGGCTGCAGGCAAGGGAGAGCTTGCGGAGGGAACTACCCTTTAAAAAACCATCAGCTCTCATCAGACTTGCTCATATCATGAGAACAGCATGGGAAAGACCTGCCCCTCATGATTCAATTACCCCCTATTGGGTCCCTCCCATGACATATGGGACTTATGGGAGCTACAATTCAAGATGAGATTGGTGGGGGGCCGCACAGCCAAACCATATAATACATTTTCAGATAGATCAATGAGACAGAATGTTAACGTCGATATCCAGGACTTGAACTCAGATCTGGAACAAGTAGACTTAATTAACATTCATAGAACTCTCCACTTTAAATACAGAAAATATACACTCTTATCAGTACTACATCACACGTACTTACAGGTTTAAATGAAATATTGGTTGGCTGCTAGTTAATTATTTTCTTCCCTCATTTTTTTTTTAATGTCTCTATTATTAAACACAATTACAGGCATACCCAGTTTTAGACTGCATTATAGCCCGGGCAATAAAGCAACACCCCTGTTCTCTCTCCCTCTTCCTCTTCCTCTTTCTTCCTTTCCTTTATTCTTTTTCTTTTTTTTATTCTTTTTCTTCCTTTCTCTCGTTCTTCAAAAATAATAATAATAATAATAATACATTTTCAGCTGTGGAAACTTCCCCTGGATGGCCCACCTCAAGGTCCCAAGTCAGCCTACTTCTAGAAATTTCTCCCTATTCCTCCCATTCTTCAGAGGGAGTCTCATAAGGATTTTCTTGCATATTTCTGCATGAAATACTTTTGAGTGAGACATTTCAAGGTGAGCGTTGTACACAGCACATTACCAAAACTAACACATCAGAGGTGGCTGGCGTCATATCTGCTTGAAAGATTTCAACTCCAAACACTTTGGCATTCTTTGCTGGTTCTGCCAAAAACAACTTAGGGGAGAGGCTGGGGAAGATACATTGGATTCCAGAGATTCAAGTCAGCACTGATGTGATTGTCAGTTACCACAATTAGCTGGGGTGCTGGAGGGAAGAGGCCCTCTCTCTGCTGAGAGGCAGTTTTATAAGAGAAGAGAGCCATTCCCACTTCTGAGAGGCTTTAGGGGATACAGACATGCCAGTCTTCAGCACATCTTACCTACCTAAAAATTTCCATCTTTTGCTGTCAAAACAAGTCATATCTTAAAGTCCACACACAGAGAGAAAGGTGACTTTTCTACTTCATGTCCAGAAAGTTCTTAAGGAGACAATATATAGCAGTAAGTTGAATAGAAATCAAAGTAGTCAGGCACAGTGGTTCATGCCTGTAATCTCAGAACTTTGGCTGCTGAGGCGGGTAGATCACCTGAGGTCAGGGGTTCGAGACCAGCCTGGCCAACATGGTGAAACCCTGTCTCTACGAAAAACACAAAAATTAGCTGGGCGTGGTGCAGGTGCCTGTAATCCCAGCTACTTGGGAGGCTGAGGCAGGAAATTGAACCCAGGAGGCAGAGGTTGCAGTGAGCTGAGTTGGCGCCATTGCACTCCAGCCTGGGTGACAACAGCGAAACTCCATCTCAAAAAAAAAAAATGAAAAAAAAAAAAGAAGTCAATGTAAAGTCTGTGGAGGCTCTATTTACGTATTTATTTTTACTGTGTTCTAAAAATGTCCCCTCAGCATGTGACTACGATGGGAGGCTGAATACAATGGAAGCATTCACTTCTAGAATTTTCTCTCTGTACAGACAAAGAAGAGGATATACATGGGGAAAGGACTGAGGGCTCTTGTTCATTGTCAGGTCTGGCCCACATCCAGAGACCATAATGTCACTCTTCTGTCACTGAGTGAAGAAAATCACACACTTCAGAGGCAGAAAGGGCTTAGGACCTTCCGGTCAGGGATTCTCATTATAGGCTCTGCCATTTCGTAACTTCGTAACCCCAGGCAGGTTCTTCAGTGTCTCTCAGCCTTCGTTTCCTCATCTAGAAAATGAGGGGGAGACTCCTACCACATGGGGTTGTGGGGGATTCCTGGAACAATGGAGCAAAACCACTGGCACATAGTGAGTGATCCATAAGGGTAGCTTCTGGACACTTGTACTACAGAAACAAACAAAGAAAACAAAAAGCTCCACAGTTAGAGAGTTTTCATTGGGAATTTTGACTTTCTTCTACAATTCAGTCTCCTGCTGTGGACTTGAAATGGTCAGCTGTGTTGAATACCTGTTATCTAACTATTGGCATAGTATTAAGAGATTCAGAGATATTGACCAATGTCAGTGTTTCAGGACGCTTAACAGTGTGTGGGTTTCATGATCCCATGGTCACAATGAGTTCATTTCTGCTCAGAAGATTAAATAATTGGCCCTGAGACTGGTTATCTATCAGCAGAAGCAAACCTTGAGGCCATATCCAGCTTACTATCCATGGTGGAGGCAAAACTCCTTCCAGTTCTGCCAGTGGTCAGAGGCCAGGAGTGAACTAGAACCACCAACAGACGGCCTGGAGGAGTTTAAGAAGGCTTTGGGTCTGTTCTCCAATTTTCATGCCAACCCACAGCAAACCTGATGACTGTTTTATGATTCCTAGAGATTACCAGTCGTTTTCTATCTCAGGGGCATGTTATATTAAGTTATATCTGTAGAGGAGGGGGCCGCCGGGTTGAGAACCGGTGTAGACCTTAAGGGAAAATATCCTTTCTTTGTTTGGCTTGAAGGATCTTGGGGAGGATCTGGAATGTTGCTTCAGAGCTCTTGGAGTTGGTGCAGGGTTCACAGGTCAGGACCCAGGCCCCATCCTGCATCCTACAATGAATGGCACCACCCTCTTGGACATTTCTTGAACATGCCAAGCATGATCCCTGTCATGGGAATAGAAGTGCCATGAAGACAGGGATTTTTTTTCTCTTTTCTTTGTTGCCAATTCTTGCCTCTGGAAGAGTTCCTGGCATAGAGAAGAAGCAGCTAGGATGGAATAAGTAAATTAACCACGATTTCAGGTCAGTTGTTCTGACTAGTCCCTCTGTTTGGAACATTCTTACCGAAGAGTGTCTCCTGGCTTGATCCCTCTTTTTAGATCTAGGCTCAAAAGTCACCTCCACAGAGAGGCTATTCCTGAGCACCCCATCTAAAGCTCATTACCCTCAATCACTTTTCCCTGTCCCTTGCTTTAATAGTCTTCTCTAACTTACGTGTAATCATGTGCTCATCATCACTTTCCCCACTGCTAAGTTCCATGAGGGCAGAGAACTCATCTCTTGTACATCCATTGCTGTATCTCTGGCACCTAGAACCCAGTCTGGCATGAGTCAGTGCTCTGTAAGTTATATGTTGAGTAAGTGAATAAATGCACCATCCGTGGGGAACGCAGCACGGTGTTTCCTCATAGCAGTTCAGAGATAAGTGTTCCACCCACCTTGATCTAGACCATCCTGTGTAACACTGTGAAGCCCTGTCTCTACTAAAAATGCAAAAAATCAGCTGGGCATGGTGGCATGCGCCTGTAGTCCCAGCTACTCAGGAGGCTGAGTCAGGAGAATTGCTTGAACCCAGGAGGCAGAAGTTGCAGTGAGCTAAGATCATGCCACTACACTCCAGGCTGGGCAACAGAGTGAGACTATCTCAAAAAAAAAAAAAAAAAAAAAAAAAAACCAAAAAAACAGGTAAGTGTTAGTTTTATTGATGATGATGATGATGATGACATCCAAATGTCCCTCTGAGGCTGTGGCACTGTGGATTGACATTTGACATTCTCAGTGTACATCCCGGTAGGTTGGTGAATGTAAAAGGCTTTCCTTCTACCCCACCTGCCATTCCTCCCTGCCACCATCAGACATGCTAAAGAACTGTGCTTTCATCAACTTCTGCTCCCCTTTTCCGTGGCTGTGGAATTGTGACAAGGCACTGGGGACAGTTCATCCTCTCTCCTCAGCTCTTAAAATAAAACTTTCAGATCCTTTATACTAACATATAAATGAAGAACGGTAGTCCCATCCCTGTTTCCCATCCCCTCCCAGCCGCCTGACCTCTCCCAGAATCTGGAACTTCCCATCTATTCACTTTCATTCATGTTATCAAATACCTAAAGTGCCTCCACTTTGCCCCATTTTATTTATACAGATACACTTTCCAAAATCCAGCTCCCGTATTACCTTCCCTGCTCTGCTCAAGCCCAGATCTTCTGCCTCCTCTCTCCGGTTTTCCTTGTAGCTCTCTCCCGCTTCCTTTACAGCCCTTATCATGGGCACTGTGCTTAACTAGGGTTTTCTTCTCCAAGAATGAAGAAATGAAGCTCATTTCTTCTCCAAAAATGCACTCTGCAAGGCAAGGGTCCTGCAGATAGGGGAGGGAATGGGCAGCTCTGACATGAGTCAGTAGGGGAGGTCCCTCAACCCTGCAGATTCAGCTGTCAGAACTTCTGGGTTCCAATCCTACCTCCCCTCTTACCATCTATGAGTCCCTGACAAGTGATTTAATCACAACATGCACCAGATGTCCCACCTGAAAATAGGGATCCTAATTACTACACTTCAACAAGCACAAAACACCACAGATCAATGGATAAAAACATAAACGATTCTGGAAAGAGAACTTGGGAAGGGTCGGGAACTGGAAGTTGCTTTTTAGATAGTTTTTCCATTAATATATGGGGATGACTTTATGAGTTTATTTGGGACCAGACACAGAGAAACCAAGCAATGTTTGAATGTATTTCTGAAAAACATCCAGAATTTTATTATCTTTGTTAATTAAGCAGAAAGTTCTTTGCACTGAAATTATCACTCTGGCTCATTCAGCTCAAAGACTTATCACATCCAAGAAAAATAAAGCAAATTCCAAAACACAAAAGCAAAAATTACAAAATCTGTTTAAATATTTTGTTGCACTCACGTAGCACAAAACTTCCTATCTGTTGGGGACTGTAGAGAGCTTTATAGCATATAGAGGGACTTATGACATGACATCGCTTAAGAGAATCCGTTCTCTTTTGACCTCATTAGCATGATGTGTCCTGAATCATTCTGAGGAAGAATGTGCAGAGAGAGCTCCAACTCTCTCCGCAGAAGTCCAGGGCAGTCTTCCTCTGGTTTGCCACATCTGGGTCCTCCGTACACTCGGGAGCTTTGGTGATCACGGTCTGGGTCACTGCTGGGCTAGAGGAGGTGGTCACTTTGTCCTTGATGTGCTCCTTGGGGGACATCTCTGTTTTTTCCTTTCTGGGCTTTGTGCTCCCAAGTAGAGTGGAGCTCACTAGCTTAAGACTGGATTCTGGAAAATCCTCTCTGCACACTCTGGTTTTCACGGCTGTCTTGGGATATTTACAGATGTCTTTCTGTGAGCGCAGATTCCGGGCAATTTGTTTCCAATAGACTCTCTGGGCCTTGAGCTTTAGGCACGAGGTTGGATTGCCAGCAAAGACACAGGAAAATTCATGGTCCAATCGAGTGCACTCGACCTTGAGAGAGATGCCCTCCTCCTGCTCAGTCACAGCCCATCTGCAGCTGGCTTGGTCTTTGGTGACAAACTTGCCTTTGTTCCCAGGCCTCCTTCTCTGCTTAATCTGGGTGTTGCCCAGAGTGTCCTTTTGTTCTGAGCCTGCTTTGCTATGAAGCCCATTCTTCACTTTTTTCTCCCCCTCCACCAGGAGCACCTGAGCAGCCAGTAGGAGGAAAGAGAGCAGGGTGAGGCTACAGATCCTCATGGCTGCAGCTGGGCGGGCACCTGTTTGACAAAAGGCAGGTGAGTCAGTGGCAGGCAGCAGTTCGGCTGTGCAGGACTACACACTGGCCTCCCTCCACCCTGACAGGTATCTGCCTGATTTCGGAGTAGACCAAGAATGCTTCTGGCTCCTAGAGGCACTAGACAAGCAGCCTGTCTACTCACATTTCCACTTGACTTGAGTTTTGAGTGTCACAAAACTACTACTCTTTGGAGCCTCACGAACTCTCATTTCTCATTTATGCACTCGTCGACTCCTGTACTTGCTCACTCCTCATTCTTTCATTCACTCATTCAACAAGCATTTATTGAGCACTAGAGTAGGTGTTGAAGATATTACCACGAACAAGAAACCTCAGGTTTGAGAGAGTTTAGAAGCCACTCTCTGAGAGAATTTAAATGGCATCTATTAGGGAATCTATCCCATCATCTCTGCCTCAACTTAATCTGAAACAAGCTACTGCTCCAAACTCTCTTCCAGCTCCAAAGGGCTGGATTTCTATTTCACAACTCCATATGGACACAAATGCCCAAAATGAGAAAGGATGTGGTAACCACCATGGAAGGTGACGTTGACCCAGAGTTGAACATGCCTGGGGTTTGGGTGTGGTGGGTGGGGTTGTGGGGGTGGGGGAGCTTTTTGGGAGGAAGTAAGAGCCAAAGGAAAGGCATGAGGTGGGGAGGTTGTTTGATGTGCCTGGGCAAAGTGAACCAGGGTGGAGAGAGATGAATTTCAACCGGATAGTTCACACCGCAAGATCGAAGACACGGATCATGAGAAATCATTGAACCAATAGGATGAACATCAATGTCACACTGAATTGCACAGATCTGATCATGTGCACAATAAAAACCCATGCTTAATAGCAGAAGAGAAGTCCATTTCTATACGAAGCCTCTTGTGTGCTAAGTACTGGTCCTGGGTTTGACTCCCATCTTGTTAAGTCCACACAACAGCCCTTCTAAGTAACTATTAGTATGTCATTCCAGGTGACAGCTGACTCTTAAGGCTCAGACAGGTAAATAAATTGCTCAGGATCTCATAGTGGGCAAGTCTCAAAGCTGGTATGGGTAGCCAGATTCATCTCCTTATTCCTTTCTGTCACCCTGGTTGATCCCTTTTGCTTTTCATGTTTACTCTTCCCTTTAAAAACATTGGCAAAGAATAAGAAAAACAACTATGAACGATGCCAATTTAGTTTGATATAATGCATGATAAGATGATTTATATTATTTGTGCTCCATTTAAAACAAAACACAGAATTTTTATAAAAAGAGGCAGGCAGGCCCAGGAAATGATCCTGATCTGATTTCTACCTTAGAACCTGGCCTCCTTCTAGGGTTAACGAGGAGAAAGGCAATCATGAAAGGGCAGAGAACAGCAATAAATAGTGAAGAGGAGGCTAGATATGCCCAACGGACACCCAGCCATTTCTCACAGCCCTGGGGCTCAGCCCCCAACCTGCCCATGATGGGATGCAGGCCCAAAGAACTCCAGGCCCTCAGTGGAGTGAGAAGAGGTGGCATGTAATAAAGCTGTTAAAGGAGCAAGGCTCTTACCTTGTTCGGAGCACACAGGTCCAGTGCGATCCCAGGAACGAATTGCAGGCTGCAACTGTCTCAGGTAGCGTGCAAGGGGGTGGACTCTTCAACAGGAGCCAGGCTGACTGGGTTTTTATAACAGTTACTTTGACACCTTACTCACAGCTCCTCCCAGCCACACCCCTCCGAGGGAGCCCGTTCCTGCAGGGAAAGTGCTGGATGTAATCCAGTGAAAAGGCGGGTTACCTGTGCCATTAAATACTTCCTCTAGGCTCTTCCCTGTTTACTCTGGGTAAAAAAAAAATGTAAAAATAGTACTTTTTTACTTAGTAATATGTAACTGGAGATATGCAATAGCTTGTCCAAGTTCACAGAGTCAGGAAAAGGGGGATCTCATGATTGAATGTGAGCTTCTCTACATCCATGGTCTCATCTCTTCCTGCCTGCCACTCTCAATAAATATTTGTTGAATGGGTGACTGAAGTTGCGGAAGCCTTCTTAGTGTCTGAGCTCCTTTTAGCATCTGAAGTTACTGCATAAACAGAGGATTTCCTAATTCTAGCAGTAGGGAAATTTATGTTAAAAATTCCCTCTTTACCAGCCTCTCAGGGCCTGGTAGAATCCGGGATTTTTTTACTGGGCTAAGCTATTACCATAAAGTGGAGCAGAATCATTTTGCCTCATAGTAGGGTCTTAATGGTTCTCTGAGCTTTGCCAGGTGACACCAAATACTCCCCACTGGCTCCCAGGGCCCTTCTCCTTCATGTGACTCCCTTTCCAGCGTCTGCTTTGCTCTTTCCCTACTAGACTCAGCGGCACAGCATCAGAGCAGGCTGTGGGGCAGTTGCCTCCTTGGCTCATCCTGCCATCCCAACCTCATTTCCAGGTACACACGCCCAGACACACACATAGACACTGACACACCTATGAAGACATACACAAACACACACTGACACACACTCAAACACACTCAAAGACACACACTGAAACACAGTCATAGACACACAGAGACCCACACACTGACACAGACACATGCACAAACACACATACTCATCAGCATACACACACAGAATCACACACACAGACACACACAGCAACACTGACACATACACAGAGATACAGACACACACGTACAAACACACACACATGCACACACACACTGCAATCTGGCCACAGTGAAACCCTGTCCCACCATTTGCAGATGCTCCGTGCCCATTCCCACTGCCTGCCTTTGCCTCTGCTGCTCCCTGTCCTTGGGTTCCCCTTCCTGTCCCGCTCCACCTGGCACACACCACCTCATCCTCCAGGTCAGGCTCCAATGCCAGCCCCTCTCTGTTGGTGTCACTGGCTCCTGATCCTCCCTACACCACCCACGCTGTTATGGATGTCCACGGGGAGAAACGCACGCTTCCTCTAATGAGCTTACATCATGCGAGGCTCTGTGCTAAGGCTGTTTCCCCAAGCTTTCTTCACATCTCCATGAGCTTAGGAAACGAGTTCCTTTTCCAGTGGCTCTGGGGAGACTGCAGAGAACGTGGAGCCCCGGCCATGCAGTGCATAGCATGTTCCTGTAGGTTCAGGCTCTTCCACCTCCCCATGCTCCCAGGACCAAGGGGCTCTGTAACTCCTAGGGATGAGTACACAAAGGCCCATTTCACAAGAACCCCAGGCAGAAAGTCTGCTCAGGTCCTTGTAGGACAGATGTGGAGCCAAGGGGGCCCAAGCACAGTGTCTGACACACAATTAGAGAAGAATTATCTGGAAGTCACTGCTATTATTCTAGACACAAATGAGGCAATGTACCCATACATTGGGAAATTGTGGAACTCTCCTCTCTCCGTCCCTTCATACCTTCCCTTTTTAATTTTTTAAAAAAGTTTTAGAATCCTTTTAGATTTACAGAGAGTTGCAAAGATAGTTATCGTTCCACTTCTCACCTGGGTTCCCTATTTATCTGTTACATTACTATGGTACATCAGTCACAACTAATTAACACATATTGATACATTATTATCAATTGAAGTCCGTACTTTATTGAGACTTGCTTAGGATTTACCTATTGTTCTATATTTTTAATTATTATTGACAGACTTTATTTTTTGAGTAGTTTTAGGTTCATAGCACAATTGAGTGGAAAGTATCAAAAGTCCCATGCACCCCTCCCCACACGCAGGCAGTCTCCCCTACCTTCAACATCGTGAACCAGAGTAGTACATTTGCCATCATTAACATGTCATTATCACCCAATGCCCACCGTTTCCATTAGGTTCACTCTAAGTGCTGTACATTCTCTGGGTTTTGAGAAATGTATCATGACATGTTAATCTCAATTAATTAAGAAAGGTATAATGACAATACCCACCACTATGTTACCAAACAGAATAGTTTAACTGCCCTAAAAATCCTCTGTATTTTGCCTACTTACCACTCCGTCCCCTCAACCCCTGACAACTGCTGATCCTTTTACTGTCTCCATAGTTTTGTCTTTTTAAGAATGTCATATAGTTGGAATCTTACAATATGTAGTCTTTATATATTGACTTTTTAACTTAGTAATATGCATTTAAGGGTTCTCTTTGTTTTTTATAACTTGATAGCACATTTCTTTTAAGTGTTGATAAAATTCCAATGATTGAATATATCCAAGTCCCTTTATTTCACCTGCTACTAAAATTCCATTGATTGAATGTACCAGAGTTCATTTATTCATTCATTTAGGACATTTTGGATGCTTCTAAATTTTGACAATGATGAATAGAGCTGCTATAAACATTTACCTGCAGGTTTTGTGTAGACTTAAATTTTCAACTCCTAATGTTCTTTTTCTGTCCAGGATCCCAACATGACAGTGAGGAAAGAGACCCAAGCATCTATGATCACCTCTCCCTTGACTTCCACACTGCATTTCAGTAGAAGAAAAGGCCAACGAGCACCTCCTAAATCATATTCCTATAGACAGCGGGCATAGTATGGGGGAATCTTTCCGGATGGCACTGTTTTATTTAACAAGATCAAACCCCCACCCCACGCCTACTCCATAGACCAAGACCCTTTCACATGAAATTTCTAAAACTATAAACCCAAGACCCTTTCACATGTAATTTCTAAGGCTGTAAGCCCAAGGCCCTTTCATGCGTAATATCTAGAGTTGTAAGCCTATATAAAGGTAGAGCTTCTCTTTGTTAGACGAGCTTGGCTTAGACAACTATGTCGCCTTGTTCCAGGACGAATAAATCACCTCTTCCTTCCTAGTTTGGTGTCCGAGAGGTCTGTTTCTCGTGGCTGCTCCTGCTTCAACACCATGTTGTATTTACTGATCATGACTTTTTGGGTTCTTCTTGGCTATGACTGTTTCTCAGATGTTGCTTGTTTTTGCTGACTATGGCAGTTTGCAGAAGAACTGGTTAGGTGTTTTGAGAATGTTTCTCATTTGGAAATTGGTGTTTTCTGGTTAGATTAGGATCATGTTATTCTTCTCATCATTTGGGAGTGTGAAAGGAAGTCTGAACAAAATTGGTAAAAACACACTGGGTAAGGCTGGTAATTGAATGCATGTCTGGTCATCAGTTGGGGATTTGAAATTCAGAAGCTGATTTTACTCTCATGCCTGTTACTCCCACGGAGCTTCTGGACCTAGAGGCCTGGCCCTATTTATGTAGTCACCAGAGATTATATGAATGGATGCAATTTGGTTCTGAGATAAGTCTTAACTGTGCCAAACTTACCACCAGGCCAAAGTTGTCAAAACTCAACCCTTCCTTCAAAGGTAACGTTATAAAAAGACATAGCAAATGCTGAGCTGCTGCACTAAAGTAATATTAATTTGTTGGGCAAATAATGTGCATTAAAATATTTATTATCAGGGAATAAGGAAATTAGTGAAATAAACATCAGTAAAATCTAATTTATCTGGCAAAAAGCATTAATCTTAGGCCTACTCAAGAAAATTTGCGTTCCAAATTTAACATGCTCATTCGTCATGAGATTTCAGGATTCTTGTTCAGGACAACAAAAGTTTTATTTCTTTAGATAATGAAGAGATAGTTAAGTGTGGATTCTATCATACTGGGTGTGATTGCGAGGTGAAAACCAACTAAGTTTATTTACCTCAGAAAGAATGTTGTTATGTCCGGGCGCAGTAGCTCACACCTGTAATCCCAGCAGTTAGGAGGCGGGTGGATCACAAGGTTAGGAGTTTGAGACCAGCCTGGCCAATATGGTGAAACCCCATCTCTACTAAAAATACAAAAATTAGCTTGGCATATACCTGTAGTCCCAGCTATTCAGGGGGCTGAGGCAGAAGAATCGCTTGAACCCAGAAGGCGGAGGTTGCAATGAGCCAAGATCATGCCACTGCACTCTAGCCTGGGCAACAGAGCAAGACTCTGTCTCAAAAAAAAAAAAAAAAAAAAAAAAAAAAAAATTTTTAAAAAAAAAAAAAAAAAAAAAAAAAAGAATGTTGTTATTAACCACGTAATATTAACACATTTCTTAACTTTTATTTTAGGTTCAGAGGGTACATGTGCAGCTTTGTTACATGGGCAAATAGCATGTCACTGAGGTTTGCTGTACAAATGATCTCGTCACTCAGGTAGTAAGCATAGAACCCAATAGGTAGTTTTTCAAACCTTGCTCCCCTCCGTTTCTCCCCACTCTAGTAGTCTCCAGCTCTATTATTGCCATCTTTATGTCTATGCTAACCTAATATTTAACTTTTTCTTATAAATGAGAGCATATGGCATTTGGTTTTCTATTCCTGTGTTAATTTGCTTAGGATAATAGCCTCCAGCTCCATCCATGTTACTGCAAAGGAAATGATTCATTGTTTTTCATGGCTCCATGGATAGTATCCCATGGTGTATATGTACCACATTTTCTTTTTTCAATTTACCATTGATGGACATCCAGGTTGATTCCATGCTTTTGCTATTGTGAATAGTACCATAATGAACATATGAGTGCATGTGGGGTATTTTTTAAAGAATGATTTATTTTCATTAAGTAGCACATGTTAGTCACATTAGTAAGAGTGAAATATTTTTCAGTTGTTGATTGGATAGAATGAGTAATTTTGAGAAAAGCTGGGGAGCAGGAGGGGAAGGGCCCAGGGTCCCTGCCACAGCCCCCATGCAAAGCATAATC